ATGAATGGATGAATTATGAAGTGGTTTTGTACTTTGTGTAACTGCACATCACGTCCAGGTAGCGCTCTGTTTGGCACGAGAAAGAGCAATAAAGCATCTACTTACACAGTTTGACAATCGACTGCAGGCCCCAAGAGATAACAGAGCGTCGTATATTTTGCTGAATCTCGAATTTCAATTGCTGTAGACTGAATTAGGCTTAATTTATAATTGCATAGGAATGAGTATAAAATCTGCGACATTTCACACGCACCAACGTTTTTGTTTCATCCAATTCCGATCATTTGATATCTAGAAATTTCACTCATCGTGGATCATTGGATTAGATCCTTTAAATGATTCTACGACAGCTTCCCTACTTTGCTTCTGAAGGAAATGTTGACTTTATACATTGGTGGCATAAACAACTGCATTCAGCAAATTGTATCTTGGTATAGTGTTTTCGTAGCTTCTTCCCTTCGAAAACTAGCATCATTGCCATAGAGAAGAGTAGACTGATAAAAACACAGTTAATTGGACGCTTGGCTCAATAGAACTGCTTTTTGGACCAGATGTCTAGATTTGTGTTGAGAAAAAGAAAAGTCTGAGACTAGAGACTATCTTGAAATAATTTTATATGTTTGAATTCTGTTTTTGAAATATAAACAAATAAATCTTGAGTTTTATTGAAATGATTGATAAATCATGAAAAATAGACCACATTTGGTGAAACGGAGTGGATGCATCAATTATTATACTGCTGGGCTGATTGATTCAAATAATGATATTAGACCTAGGAAAAATTGTGCGGTGCTTGTCAAGACTTCTACTGCCCTATAATACCGAAAGTTTCAGAAAAGGGAAAGTGGCTGCCGCCATACCCCTAAATTTCTCACAAAACTAATGCGGATACTTTCCAAAATTTAGAAGAATATTTTTATCAACAACTGAAAACGAGTAACTTGTCCAAATTTTACAGTATATTTTGAATTTCAAAAAGGTTTTGCAGTATTTCTAGCGCTTGTAAAATGATAAACCTATAGCGGCCCTCATTCCAACAGTCGCTTCGTGTATTTGTTTCTGATCGTTCTAAAACATAATATATTTTGATAAAATCCTTAGTCTAACGAGATTGCAAGCCTATGATCCTCAAATGGTCGAGGCACGTTCTCAGCCAACAATAAGAAAACCTTCTTGCGAGAAAATCTCAACGAAGTGCTCTCCAAGTCAAGTCCTTGTATTGTGCACAGAGTAAGGGTAAAACAGCCAGTATAAGCACAGACTCACTTTCATGTTGAAAAACGTCTTGCTAATAAAATTTGTTGTTGAAGAATGATTATTTCAAGTATAAAATCTTTATATTGAAAGTAGACATACACACATGTACTGAAACGAGGTTAAAAAACGGCTTTATTTTTATTCGGTCAAAATATCTCGGCAGCGAAGGGGCTACGAGCGTTTTTGGCTGCGGAATGACCTTAAAAAATTTCGTCACTTTACCCGTCTACATAAGGTGCCTTCAGTTCTCATAAGGGGAGCATCGTCATACCAAAAAAGACAGGTCTGAAAAAGAACGCTGTAAAGTTTTTGAGTTCTTGCTTCTTCTCTATCGGGGCCAGGGCCACTTGCGCCAGTACTAGTATTTTTTGTGATTGCCAAAGAATTGCTTAACATATAGAAACTAAGGTTATGGGAAAAAGTTGGGTTTGAAAAAAAAGCAGTGATTATTTAGATTCGAAAATTAAAATCGAACAGAACTTATGCAGCAGCCTAATAGACACAATGAAAATATAAAATCGTAGAAAGAATGATACAAAGACAGTTACACGTGGTAAGAAAGAAGGCCTTGTTCTGTTTGAGTTGCTCATAGCTTATTAACTGTCCCTTTCTTAACTGCACTTTCAATCAGCAGTAAAGCAGGCCGACGGAGATGTAAACAAAGAAAAATTCGGAAAAGGGTATAAATCTATTGAACCCATTTCAACTTCTGCTTTGGGTAGAGGAACAGTTAAGTTGGATTGATTTTTCACTGTTTGACTTGTGCATTTAACCCTGAGTTGTGTATGTAAACTTTAAGCTTATTTATTTCATAGCAATTTTCATTTGTGTATTCATCCAACGTGCAAAAGCCATTATTTCGTAAGGTAAACGATCGTATGTCTGGTACGAGTGTGTTTGCTTTTTCTTCTTCAAATTGTGCTGTTTATGGCCATCAGCTATGTTGATTATGTTGGCAGTTTGTTTGCAGCCCGATGGTAGCAGAAAGACTACTACGTACTATACTACGTACTCTACAATTTATGTACATAATGCTTTTACATAAACAGCACAGCAACATTTTTTTCCTTTTTTCTCTCATAACTTCCGCTGCTTTGTTGTTTTTCTTGCGTTCAAGCCTTAGCTGGAGGTTATGAATTGTGAAGTGGGTCCTTAAAATATTTCTAATTTTCAAGGGTGTGTTCCTCATAAAAGTTCAAACACTTCCTGTAAATCTTTTGACTTGGGCCCTCAATTCACTCGAGAAAAACTAGATTGAGGGAAAGAAGACAGCCAATGAAGTATTGACAAGCGTGACCGAGTAACTTGACCGCGAAATTGAAATCATTTCGGGACCATAGTGAAGTTCGGAATTTTGAATTTCTACTAATTCTTGTTCTTGTTCTTTGAACTATGCTCAAAATTTATGCCATAAAGTAAAGCAAAATTATGTAATGAAAGGGGGAAAATGTAAATTTGTCCAGTAGCCGCCCTAGATTACTAGTGCTAATCTCAAAATATCATCAAGTCTTTGATCAAAATAATTTTATAAATATTCCTTTTCCGCAATCTTCGTCGCAAATTACATCCTAAATTTGGACTCGAGATTTTTCTACGTTTCCCATGTTTCTCCCATGAAAAAAGGATATCCAGCTTGTGAAAGTGGCAAACCTGTCGACCCAGCTGTGAAACAATTTGGAACGATTTGACAGTGGAACATTAGTTCCGATTAGCAAATGAATTGAAACAAGGCTGGTGGAAATCCTTTACTTTCGTCACATGGTTAGCATAGGGTGCTCTCCTTGTGGTTTATAGAAAGATTTTCTAGCTTTTATGTGTCATTAATTTATAGCTTCTCCTTTACAGCGTTATCTTGCTCTTTCTGCTCAATGACTATTACGGAAACTTACAAATTTCTTTACAGATTTAAAAAACTTGCTGGTCTCATTTACATTAAATTCAAGCAATAATCTTTCAAAAATTATGAATAGAACTCCAAGAGATATAGCCCAGTAGAATCATTACACTTCTTAACTATTCTTAACTATCATTACACTTAACTATCACGACACTTCGTAACTAAAAAGTTTGACACAAATTGTCTCACCGATTTGAAATGTAAAAATTAGTCAAAAAGCTCCTATTTTTTTCCATTTATGACATTAATTCATGAAATTTGTATCGGCAACAAGCTCGGAATTTGCTCCACTTGATAATTACTGTGCAATTCAACTTTAAAAAATATGAAAAACTCAAGCTGTTTCTTTTATTTCTTTTGTATTTCCTTCTCGATACGTATAAAAAACTTTTTGGCAACTTTGTAACTTGCATGGGAAAATTTTCCACGTTTGAATTGCTCTTGTATCAAAGCTAATATTTCTAAAAGTTTAAGAAAATTTGTAAGTTGAAAACTTACAGTATCTCACTAGAATTACAAAGACTTACAGTACCTCACACTAGATACAGAATTAAGAAATTCTTTAGATACAAAAAAATTTTAGGTTTGTGATGTCGCTGTTATTTACTCATACACCGCTGAATTCATGTCTGTGAAGGTGAAAACGATGCCATAGGTAGCCTTCCGTCCCTTCACTACATTATCTGACTGATTCGCCCAATTTCTTTCCAGATTATTGAAAAGTAAATGTTGAAAGTCTTGTTTCAAACTAATATTTTATCACAGAAGTTTCCCTCGTTTTCTTGCTGTGTTCTCCTGGTGTCCATTTTAGCTCCAGCCCAAACAGATAACTTTCTAGTTTTATATTCGTGTTTTCTTGTTTCGGTTACAGGCTAAGAACAGCAGCGAAAACGTACCGGTTCCTGTCCGTGGCGGTTGCACTGCCTATGAGTGCTTGTCTTATATATGTTGGTTGTGTGTGTGTAATCATGCCTGTTTGATGACCACAACTATAAAAAGCTAGAAATTCCGACAAAAGTCACACTATTAGTCATGCGAAGCGTTCTTCGATCCACCTTGTTGGTTTTTGTTTTGATAAATTTCCCCTTTCGCAAGGGCATTTCATCAATCCTAAGCGAAAGCCATAGTAAAGCAACACCTAAAGCAGAACCAGAAGGGCAGTTTTCCGAAAATTTTACGAAAGAATCTCTTCTCAGCTGTACGACCGTCCAACTGAGTAATTGCGGCTAGCTAGAGGATTTTCCAGAACCAACGGCCTTGGAAGCCTTTACGCTCCTCGAGTTTTTCTTTCTCGCTCAAACTCATGCCAATTTCCGTTCTCCACAAGCTGGATTTTGCCTAAAATTAGGATCCAAGTGACCGCAATCCAATTTCGGATGATGAAACATTCCTCTATTGATTGATTGATTTTTATTTTAGCATTCTCTGCACTGTTGAAAATTTGAAATTTTTGTTGTAGCAAAATCGCTGTTATGGCATTTTATGCATTATCAAAACTTCCAACTCTATGTGGAGGGGAGGTTTTCCATCAATTGCAGTTTTTTCTTTTTGATCTATAGCCCGCTTCTCTCCTTGTAACCTCTTCTCCTTTCTTTTTCTTTCCTGGTCATTTTTTCTTCCATGAAAGTCCCATGTCACATTTGTTGCCTGTCATCCTATCTGAATCTTTATCTTTCCCAAAGTTTTCCTTTTCAAGAACTTCAAAAAACTGCATTTGACTTTTGACCTTTATCAGCCTTTCTCTGTCTTTTGCATTTTCGATATTTTTATCGCCTTCGATTTCTCTCTCATTTTTTTCCATTTTCTTTTTTATTTGATTTTCCAACAGTTTCAGAATCAAATCGAAATGCACTGCGTTACCATTCTACTAGCCAGTGTGATTGCAGTAAAGGTAAGTTTTAAGGGAGTGATATTTCCCATATATCAAAAAATTAAAAAAGTTAATGTAAAGCAAATTATAATTTGTTTTTACTTTGGCGTTAACTTCCGTAATTTCTGTTTAGTGCAAATTCAGAAACTTATTAAAAATTTTTTTACACCAGAATGCCCCAAAAACACGATTTTTACACAGCTTCTTTGAAATCACATAAATTTTTCGCTACACAAAACCAAAAAGTTGCTAAAAAGTATTTCACACTTTCAGGAATCACATCTTCTTTTTTTTTTTGTTCTTGGGCGTTATACGAAGGCTGAAATGAATTTTTTCCAGTTGATAGGAATCCCAAAAATCATGGTTTCTGAATAGCAATATTTTTCAAACCATAAGCAAAAGCAAAAAATTTGATCAGACAAGCATGTTTTCTAACCTCAAATCAACATACTTCATTTTCGGAAAAAAAGAAAGAACAAAATACGCCAGAAAACTCCCTCTAAGATCGTATTAATCTGAGTTTATAGATTTTTACGAGAAAAACTAGTTTTCTAACATGAGATTTTACACAGCTTTATGCTCGAAACTTGTGAATATATTATCAGAAAAACTTCCCAAAGAGAAACTGGATCGAATGATCTATAATCTGATCAGTGAAATTTGGAATCATATTGCTCGCTGCTTAGCCATTTCCTTGCAATCGTGTTTTGCGACTGTCGCTGTAAGCTAATCTCTAGCAAAACACATTTATGTGACTCATACGACCCGGTTGGCCCTCTAGTCTGAGGCCAATCTGGTTTTATGCTTAACCCCCCCCCCTCGTTTTCTGCTCTTACACTTATAACTCGTTTCTATTGCGCTAATGGCACACATCAATCTAAGACGACGAGGTAGTTGCGGATAAAACGTGAGAGTTTGTGCTTGTGACGGAAGTTCTGAGACGAAACTTCGCTCTTCGACAGATGCAAAACGCATAGATTTGGGCCGGTTTAGTGTTTAAAACGGATTGGTTTTATGATTAATCCAATCAAAACATTCAAGTTGTATGTTTACCGAATCTTGACGCAAAAACTACAGAGGTTTGCAAGAAGCGCTCACTTCCAACGATCTGGGGGCCTGTATTGCTGAAATATGCTGAAATCGGTTGGGGCGTGATCACAAGAGTTTATTCGTTATTTAGATACAAGACCAGTACCGTATTCTTCACAAGTGTACCAGTCAGACTTCTCAAGTACGGTACTGGGCGAAAATTTAGAACCAATTTCTGCATGAATAAATCTTATGAACTGCCACATCCGGACGACCAGTCAGGTGATCTTCTCATTCAATCTCCAAACGATAGATGGCATTATGTCTTGCATGGAAGGTATAAAAATTAGTCACAATTTTTCAGAAAATTACAAATCGTGCAAGAGACTAACTGTCGTATAAATATTAGCTTTATGGCACATATACAATAAAACCGGTCTGAAAAAAATTGAAAAGTCTTAAACAACGAAATTTTTATATATATGCAGAAATACCAACGTTTTCTTAGACATGAAGGGTCGATTTTGAAACTATGTCCAAAAAATGCTGCACTATGCCAAAAGAGATTCTCAAATTTATGATCCAGGATTTAAGGCTTGAAAAGCCGGTTTTTTTTTTGAAAATAAAAATTGATACGGGCATAAAAATTCTGGTGCAGGTGTTTGTATTAATCTAATAGTTATCAGTCACACATCTCTGAACGCATATCGATAGCTGAAAAAGGTTAGAATACCCGTTAAGCTAATCTCAGGCACTCAACTCCCTGAAGAAGTGAGTTCGGAGTTATATAGTTCCCTTTCCAACTACATTTATTTAATTGATCTATATGGAATTTTCCAGAGCCAAGACTTCGCATCGTTACTTGGCGGGTTTCTTGGAGGAGGAGGAGCTGGAGGCGGTGGTGGTGGAAGTCCCTTAGGAGTAAGTTTTTGAAGGATCAATTTGACTTGACCTCTGTCTTATACTTGGTGTTAGGTTAGAAAAACATGATTGGGCAAATTTTTATATCAAGCTTATTTTGGACAAACTACGTAATCAGCTAAATGTTTTTTTGAAATCTTTTTTTGTAAATCTTAATTCTTTTCTTTCTGCACACCCTGAGTATGAAGGAGTTGAGAACAGAGAAAGGGGAGAGGGAACGACAATCTAGCAAATATAGAGAAGCATCAGCTTTTATTCATCAAAATAATTATGATGACATAACTTAAGCGCAGAGTAGAATCCATGTTAATTTTGATTTTAGTCACTATTTCAGGGGATCTTGGCTAGTCTAGGAGGAGGAGGTGCTGGCGGAAAAGGAGGCCCTGATATTGCGAGTCTTCTGAATCTAGGTGGCGGGTTACTAGGAGTAAGTTGTAGGGTTTTTGGTTTACGAACTTTACTGGACTTTCTAATGTAATGATAATGATTCTTTCTTTCAGAAAGGAGGAGGCGGCTCACCATTTGCCCTTCCGGGAGCTCCAAATCCTGCACCAGCCCCAAGAGGAGGAGGCGGTATAAAAGGCCCTACTAACGTCGCCGTACCTGACTACTCGGAATACGAGGAGGAGACAGTTGTGAGCAGAAAAAATTCGAAGGGGGGGGGGGAGGGAGGGAGACTAGTAAAAAGTGCACAGCTGGCTGCTCATGAGGGCTGGTCGTAAAAAATTCTACACTTTATAAGAAGCAGTCAGAATCTTTTCACTAAAACAGAAAAGAATTTTTGGGAAGAAATAAAAAATCTAAAAAGGGTTTAGTTAGTTTCTGGAAGCCTACTATGTGTATCCAGAGCAGGAACTTTTTCAAGTTGGGGGGGGGGGGGGGAGGGGGGAGGGGAGATAAGTGGAGTGAGTACAGAGACTTTTCCCTAATGAAGAGGTGTGACGTCAGCTATGCCCTCGAGAGAAGTTTTTGGATCCAACTCTTGCAAACTTTTAGTCCTACTGTGAAAAAACAGGGCTTGTAGTGCAATTTTTCGTTCGATAAGTAGTTCTAGTTGGTCATGCACTCAATAACCCATCAAAACCATTTTCAAAAATTTCTCGACTCATTTGGTAATGCAAAAAAACATAAGGTATGCAAGACTTTCTTTTCAGGATGTAAAGCCACCACTGTCGCCAGCACAGAAGAAAAAACAACGACAGAAAAAAGCAAGACAAGAGAAAGAGGTAAAAAAGTGCTTGTACTTTGCCACCAAATATGCTTGTTGCATGCTTGTAAAAAATCGATGATCGATTTTTGTGTAACTAGTCACAGTCGCTGGAGAAAAAACACACTTTAGCGTCGAAGACGACAGCGTCAGAAGAAACGACGACAACAGCGTCAAAGAGCTCGTCAACAGCAAAGGGTAGATTAGCTTGATACTAACATGAGTGCATAAATTTTGGCTTGACGCGAAGTTGCACAATTTTTTTCAAAACACACCGTTGTCGCTTCCGTTGGCCTTTTTTCGGTGTTACGGTAGGCATACGATTACAAGCGAAAACCTTAGATTTTGCTGCATTAAGCAAAAGGATTCATTACAGAATCAAAATTGTGAAGAAGATTAATTCAGCCTTTACTCAAAAGCTGCAAGTTATCGAATCCTGGCTCAAAATAATAATAATAATATTAAAATAATAATAATATTAATAATTTCGCGGTGGGATCCTTATCGGTACTATGCTAGGCATACTATAATCTCAAGCTTTGCCGAACTTAACTAAAGGGTTCTAGAACTCCGAATGTAAATAAACTGTGGAAAAAAATTTATTGGAAGCAACCAATTCCACCTCCTCGATTCTGAGAGAAATTGTGTCCCCCCCCCCACATCCAAATTATTATTCGAACTGCATTGTTATAGCTTGAAAATTTATTCGCTAATAGTCCGATAGCGAATGGTCGTCGTGTCGAATAACCATCATAAACATTTCGTTGAATCCTTTCGTCATTGAGATTCCAAGAATTTTGATAGGAGGGGACAGGAGGAAGCATCCGAAATTTTGAAAAGAAATGGCGCTTTGGTCATGTCTTTGGGATATTTTTCAGTTCTCTCACAAGCGTATTGCTAATCGCATCGTAATGTTCCAAGAATTTTTGGAGCCAGGTTGCTTTCACAAATTTCCACTTTGATAGACCAGTTCTTAATAAAGAAAGAGTACTAATAGCTTGTTGAGCCAAAATCAGAGCTTCATCAAAAATGATATGAAAAGTGCAAAATTACAAGTTCTTCTACTATATCTTTAGATGATAAATCAACTAGAAAACCAGCAACAACGGTACAGTCAGCTGCAAAGGCAGCGTAATCAGGAGATAAATCGAAGAAACGTTTGTATCTAATTACCCCTATACCGCTTGCTAATAACCATTAATTTAACATTTCTACTCAGTTTTGGTGGAGGGCCCTGTCACTTGGTTTATATGCGGTTCAGTTACCCAAGCCATCGTGCTAAGACATCTCAGACTTTTCTTCCAGCAAGCCGCTACCGCTACCACCGCTGCCACCACCAGCACCGCAGAGCCTGATGCGCTTCCTCCACCGAATAGCATGACATGGATGCAAGGCGAGGGTCCTGAAGCGACTGCCAGTGAAATTGATAGCGACTACGACATGGTCGGTATGACGGGTCCGGGTTCGTCCGCACCCTCGGCAGGTGCACCTCCACCACCACCTGCAGCATTCACCCCAATCGGACGTGGGTGATAGAAAAAATGCTTTGTTGTAAATTTTACACGATCTCACTTCTGTTTATTTGTATAGCGGAATAAACACTTCCACAACTCTCATCACTTTGTCAAAATCGATAAATCAATATATTGGGGTCAAGGTTTACTCAACAATGTTTTGTTCAGGCAGTGCACAACGAGCACCTAATCCGGTATACCATAATCCACGTGCACGAACGTTTGTCGTACATGAGGCAACGCTCCCACCATTGAGGTGAGCAAATGTGTTGCTTTGAAAAAAATCGATTAGGGTTTCTCTCAAACACTTAGAATATTCACGAGACCGCTGCTTGAAAATTTCGGGCTAGAAAAGTAGGAAGAGAAAGTAAGAGAAAAAGAAATAGTATAGACAAATATGGCACAGGTTCTAAATTTGATTTGCAGAACAATCAGAATAAATTCTCTAATAGATAAAGAGAAATTGCGAGATTCCGGACTCCAATAATTCTCGAAATCTGATGCTCAGACCCTTTAGTATGCTTATCGTAATTGCATGAAGGTCCTGCCTTGAATAATTAATTTTTTCTGAGAATCAATACTTATGCAGATTTTCGTTAAATGATTGCAAATTTTTGAGTAGCTGTTTTCACTGAAAAGTCGATATTGCATCTACACTACCGTTTAAAATTTGCCAAAATTGCTCCTTTTTGGGCCTAAAAGAAGTATTTGATATTTTGCACAACATTAGATCTCACTTCCACTTGCAGCCTGATAGCAGCCTTATCTGATTATTAGTACCACATATGATGTACATGCAGAAATGACAATAAAAAGCATTTGTGAAGAAGGATCAGATGCAAAAAATTGTCCCTAATGCCATGGTGTTGGCCATTTTCTGGACAATTCTTGAGACGTTTGCCCAATCGAAAACTGAAAACCTAGAGATATTGCCAGCAGCATGGTAGCTGTATTCCTTCGATTTTGGCTGAAATTTGAGAGGAATGTTTTTTACTAGTACTGGAAGTCGTCCACACATTTTACTCGTGGTTGAACGATTTCGAAATCGGGAGGATTAAAGACAGCTAGGTAACTTAAATGATGGGGACATGTAGCTTCTTTCGCTTTTCTAGATAGTCATTATTACAACTAAAAGTCCGTGACTGCGTCGAAAGAATCACTAAAAACTCAAGCTTCTATCCAATATGATATATGTAAAGTGACCAATTTTTCGTTACGACTCCCTCCGCATAAAATTTTTAAGGAATGTCACATATAAGCGCTTTTGACACTTCGTCAGCAATGAGTCGCTAAAATTACTTTGAACGACATTTTATTACACAGTTCTGTTGTTCGAAAAGTATTTCCAGGGTCTACCCACCTCACCTGATCCAGCCACCTCGACCACCACAGCCACCTCAGCCATTCATTCAGCAACCTCCACCACAGTCATCTCAGTTCATCCAACAGCCTCAACCTCCGCCATTCGTTCCCCAGCCACCACCACCACCGCCTACTCCTCCGCCATTCATTCCGCAGCCGGCACCGCCACCGCCTACACCTCCGCCATTCGTTCCGCAGCCGCCACCGCCACCTCCGCCCACGCCTCCGCCGCGGTTCCCACAACCGGCAGCGAAGCCTTTCTGGAATTGGGCACCACCTCTTTCGATAATTGCGAGTACGGTAGCACCGATAAAACCTGTCAATACACTGCCACCGTTCACGCTTCCACCTCTACAACCACCCACGACGCCAAGTCCAAAGCTTTTGGCGCATAATACAGCGAGGGTGAGTATGGAGCGAGGGCTCTTTTTTGGAAGTTTTGGTGTTAAAAAGCAAAAATTTTGAATCAAGTTTTTATACTGTATTTCTGTATCCAGTAAATAACTCTAAGGCCCCTAGATTTCTTATTAAGGCCTGTGACCTTAAAATAGGCAAGAAGGTTATAATGGGCTGTCACGAGAGTGATACGGGATGTAAACCACTGAGTTGTCTGTTTGTAGCAGTAGGTATCTCACCCCTGACTTGTTACAAATTATGCGCCTCTACATGTACAAGCTCGTGCTAGCTGTCCGCTTCGCCGATTGACGACATACGTTTTCTATCTCTCTCATAGCTTGAGAGTGGATTTCAAATTATGAATTGTGGTTTTGAGAATTTTCAAATTCCTCTTTTCTAGATGATTCGTGAAATCGCTACATTCTCTGACCATCACCACGGAGCCAATGAAGACTACAGTGCCGTCCAAACACTTATGGAAGCATTCTTCGAAGCTATTGCCGGCGCAAAACCTCCTGCTGCTGCACAGGTAACGAGGTTATCCAAAGTTCATCAACGTGGACAAGTGCCATTGCCTTTCTTTGCAGGACCCTGGTCGCCTATTACAACCACTAAATGATGGTACGGAAGTCGGTGCCAATCGTCCACTTGTCAACAAACTCTTCGAGAGTGATATGGTACTTACGGTAGAGCAGATGAAAGGGTAGGTCAGCTATTATAGTATACTGTAGTTTCAATGTGGTTAAGGAATAATAATATTTATATACAGGGTCGTTCTCGCCTCAAAAGCACAACGACAGGGTGGTCTAAGGCGTGGAAAGCGAAAGGTACTATATCTACTAATTTTCTGCATCAATGATTATTCAGAAGTTGCTGCGGTAAAGAATCTTAAGGCTGCGTCTGGAGCTGCAGGTGTTAGGCCCGTTCCAGCGCCGTGCCAAAAGCATTGCGTATTGATCGATCGACCTTGGCTACCACAGTTGCTATTTATCAATACGCAGTGCCTGGACGACATTGGCACGGTATTGGAACAGCGCTGGCACGATGCCGGCACGACGCTGGCACGTGGTAGCACGAGGGCAAACTATAATTGATCAATAACCTTTAAGTGGGCGTCTATCCAATTCTATTTCAACTTCCTATATGATTGCTGGTTGGTAGGCCATCATAAAGTTGTTGCTTGAGGGCAGCCCATCTTCATACGTGATTGTGGACTTAACGCTGAACTCACGCCCAGTACCATACTCGATGCCATCCTCTCGCAGGAGTACGGTACTGGACGAGAGCTTAGAGGTGAATCTCGCGGCCACAAATGAATCATATGAGCGCTACTTGCACAATGACCTGACTAGGAGCTCCAATTTGTCTGGGCCCTTTCTTGAATGGGCGGAGCTTATGTGCAGGACACGCCCATTGACCTATTTAAAGTCTAACATCTTTAGGTTATCACTGGCGCAGTGTATCGCTGGCCTAGAAAACCGATTCCGTATAGGTTCAAAGAAGGTGATGGTAAGTGCAGCCGAGAAAAATGCACTAGCCAAAAAATGATTGATTTCAGAAAAATGGCGCAATCTGATCCGATCAGCGCTAAAAACGTGGGAAAAGGAAACATGTGTAAGATGGGAAGAAAACGGTCACGGTAAAGATCATGTAATCTTTTTCCGTGGTAGCGGGTAAGAGTCCGAGGTCATCTAATCAACTGTTATGCCAACCAAATCTCAGGTGTTACTCAAGTGTAGGTCGAACAGGAGGATCACAGATGATATCGATTGGTTACGGTTGCGAAGATGTATGTATACTGTACGATTACTGTGGCTCATATAAATTCATTTGAACTTTCTAGAAAGGCATTGTTTGTCACGAAGTTGGACATTCATTGGGATTCTGGCACGAACAATCACGACCGGATAGGGATCAGTATATCTCTTTGAAGTCGGTAATTTTTCACTCACAACCTCCGACAAAGCATAAGTGGCTGCTTTTTCAGCAAGCAGTATATTATTCGAGGAACTGACGGAAATTTCGAACGCAGAACGACTCAAGAGATTGAGGATATGGGTTTGCCATATGATCTTGGCTCAGTCATGCATTACGGTCCAAACGTAAGTTCTTATCAAATACATAGAGGATTTACATTTTGAACCGTTTTTGCTTGGACTGCACTCCTCATGGATGAATACTGAATATTCTCCTAAGTATTTGCGCAAATTTTTTGTCAGTTGTAGATGCTCATTTGCACCAGATTCGTTGGTCTTGATATAATATTCATTGAAGAAATTTAAAATTATTTTTAAACGATTTTTCTAGAATTTCTCGATATCAAAATTTGTGGGACTGCAGCACACCGAAGTATATGCTGATTTCAAGAGTAAAATCAGATTTTCGTCATGCATATTGTGCCGTCATAGACTCATAGATATATCATCAAATCATAGATATTCACGGAGGAGTGGAGATTAGAGGATAAAGGATTCAGCGTCCTGAATATCCCTTGAAGGCAGCGTCCAGGCAGACGCCGAGCCTGACCACGCCTTCTTCCTCGCACGGCCAACCCCTTGAACAAAATCTCTTTAGCCCTTGAGTTCTCACATGGCAAACGCAGTCGAACACATAGTGTTTCATGTTAATGCTTGCTTTCAACAAGAACAGCATCAGAATCGTTTGTCCGGGTTCTCACAAAATAGCCCCATAAAGGTGGTTTTTTGAAGAATGCGTTTTAAGTGTCATACCTGGAATAAGCGCCATGAAAATGCCTGGAAATTATAAAAATATGGAAGTAGGGAATCTGCCGGGTCGCTGCCTTTAAAAACATGCAACGAACGCATTCTACATTGTAGTTGTAGAGGTAATTGAATGCGTACAGGCCTATTACAGTGACTTGCGAAACCCAACCTATTACCAAGTCAGTGCCAAGCCCTTATTCTCTTTGTTACTTTGGACAGAATTTACCCTCAATATCAACCCATATGTCATCCTTCAACATGTCGTGGATCACGTGGATTAGTGAGGCGCCGTCTCGCTTCGCTTGCGTCACATTGCGGGCGCCTCTTTGGCTTGACGTGGCGCTCAAAATAACATGGCGCAGGTTTTCCCACGTTCTTCTTGTTGCCACGCCACGCCAAAGGTGCGCACGCAACGTGGCGCAAGCTCAAAGCAGTGGCGCCTCACTAATCCACATGCCACGTTACGTTGAGGGAAGACACATGAGTTGATATCAAGGGTACCATCCCCAGAGCGTAAAGAGATTGATTGGTCCATCGCGGAATCGAACCTTAGTTCGACCTAGTCTCAGTTCTTTTTGACAACTATATTCTAACTTCTCATTTGTTTCAGTATAGCCATAGAGCGCGACATCAATATTGTACTCTAACGAAAACAAGTCGCATACAAAAGCACACTGAGAGCTTTTAAGAGTTTGAAAGGATTGGTAGCTTTTTCTCTACCCCTTGGCCGAACTAAGGGGATGAGTGGCGCAGTGGTATGGGGCGATTCCACGGCAATTTCTGTAATTTTTCTACACTATCCGGTTTCGGGGCTAAGAATCATACCGGTGGTGCATCTTCCCTGGTGCCCCTAATCAGTAGTTCTCAAGGAAGCTTCAAAAATCTGGAAAGAGAGGAAAGGAAGCCTACAGAATCTTATCTGAATAGAAGGCATAAAGTCTGGAGACAAGTTAAGACAAATCGGCACATTTAAAGTAAAATCAAATCAACCACGAATGGCAGGGGAAGTGATTGCAACTTCATGTTCGAATGAGCGTCATCCCGCGACCTCAGAGCGCGCTAGCGGCACCCAATGTATGGCGCAGTTCATGTATTAGGTTGTAAAAAAATTATCGTGCGCTTTTGGAAATTTCATTTTCTGACGCGTTTTTTGGCGCTCGGTTAGACTTTGACAACAAGATTTTTATATATTTCAGTAGAGGGAAGCATAAACTTTTCGGAATCGCTGATCTGCACATCAAAAAATAAAACCTCTCCAACCATGAAAATTTCACATTTTTTTCCTGCTGCCATTTTTTTGTGGAGATCAAAGAAGTTCGTTCAAATTACAGGTGATCTGAATGAGGAGCCTTTTCACTTCTAAAACACAGCTGCATTAGCGTTTTGCGATTTGCGCTCAGAAATTACAAGGCGATGAACTTGCCTCTGACCGCAGCTCTTTTCGCATCTGACGTCGCTTCTGCGGAATCCGCCCGGCCTGGGTGATGGGTCCAAAAGATGTGCAAGGCATTACGCCAACAATGTCTCCAGACAAAGATTTGGTCCGTCCTGTGCAGAACTAGACTTCAAAATCACTTACTCGAAAATGGTGCATTTTTAGGGCCAGAAATGGTCGATTTTTCAAACTTTCTGGGAAAAATTCATTGCTGGTGGTCCTTCAAACCCCAGCAGGCCTCTATATAACTAAGCTTCTGGGCTCTCCAGCTCTCAACATGCTTGAGATAATCTTGCGCAAACAGGCCAGTTTTCGCGTCGACCTTTCTCTCTTTTGCGCGTGCCAGTGGACCGCAATAAGGCGCTGAAAATCCAACAAGAAAAACGTTTGTTGTGGATAAAATTGTCTTTGCAAAGAAATTTGGAGCTCTGAGTGAAGTTAGAGGGATTTGAAGAAATTTTTCGCAAGTGCCCGGGAACTTTCTTTACGACCTAATAAAAAGATAAATGTGTTGTAGCGAATCCGTAATAACGCATTATAAATAGTTTATCGATGAATTTGTGGCAGAGTCAATTCATAAAAATGTGATAATCCCGTCCTTTAATCTTAGATGTCATGCCTAGTTTATTATTCTTTCTTTGATGTACGCAATCTGAGCAACTCTTGCATATTCTAAGTACTTCTGTAGCACAATTAGCGAAAAGTATGTGTCTTGGTATATTAGATCCCCACTGGATATGTATCGACCTTGAAATTGTACACATCTGTTTTACTGTACATACTAAAGTTGATCTTGTTTTCGCAAACTATCATGTTCAAGTCTAATCTTGTTCTAACATTCTGCGCTCTCGCAGGAACTTTACGTCTTTTACAATTCTGTAGGTACATTGCATATCATCTTTTAAAGCTCTCAACTAAAGCCTCGAAAAGCAAAAAAAAATGTTAGCTTATGAAGTACAACGTGCTTTTCGCCCGTTTGCAGGATTGTCCTCGAAAGGAACTTGCGGCTTTAAATTCCCTTTTTCGAAAGGGAACCTAAAGCTGCAAGTGGGAGATTTGAGGCTCCAGAAAGTGAGCTGGGAGTGAGTTTACAGTTTCGTGCCACATTAGGAGCAGTAACCTTGCTAGACAGATCTCCTAGGCCAAAAGACATATCTCTGAGTTTAAAGGCAGCGGCTCGGCAGATTTTGCATTTCCATCTTTTTGCATGTTTTGGGCCTTCTCGACCCGTAGATCCCGAATCTGAGCTTTAAAAGGGGTGAAAAAGCCTTTTTCGGGGCGTTTTTTTTCAATTTCCAAAAGGCAGCTCGGACGAGAATTTTTCAAAGGAAAGTCGGGAAGCCCTGGCACGAAGACCCTGCTGCCTGTAATTTTGGCTTTCTATAGCATGCACAATGCGGGAAAGCGGTTGGGGGGTCCCGCGCCGTCTAGCGGAGAATACTCGTCCGAACAAGGTGTTAGGGGAGCGAAAGGAGGAAGGGGAGCGACGCTTGGGCCGCCCCCCTGGCTTGCAGAATTCACATTTTCGGCCCGGAGTTGCTCTTTTGGTTCACTTGGAGGGCCTCCTATCCATCTGTGTCAAAATCTAAGGTAGGTCTATTCTGCCGAGCCGCTGCCTTTAATATTCCGCTCTTCTCAAAGCATGCCTTAAACCAGTAACCAGAATTTATATTAGAGTCACTATAAATTTATTGAATCTCTTTATGATGCCAGCATCCTTACGACTAGTATGACTTTGTAATCGTGTACAAACTACATCTTACAAAACTTGACATCACCTGAGCGTTGATTCAAGACCGGAAGCAATTAGTAAATTGACACTGTCCATGTGTCGGAAAACCGGAATTTTCTGATTTGAGGAATCTTTCGTCTGCAAAAAGTTTTTTTCCTTCCTCGTGTCTGCTCCTAATTCGCCTCTGATTTCGTTTAGGGAGTTCTGATCAGTAAGCATTGTATTTCTAATATTTCCAGCGAAATTGGTCAACTCGTGAAAAAAAAATTTGTGGAATTTTTATTTGAATTCTCAGACTTTTCATCTTTAATTTACAACGCACAACAGCGAACAACAATCACAAGTAGCTAATCGAAATTCCTGGGACTAGCCAGTTTATTAGAAGAACTTTTGTAATAAACAATTCACGGCCATAATGCACAATCCTTCTGTACGAAAGGATTCAGTGATTTTGGACGATCGTCACCTTTGCACCTGCAATGACAATTTTGAATTTGTATTTATTTGAGTTTCAAATAAAATAGACGCATGAACTTACTGGCATTGCCATCCACCATCGCATTCACCGTTAAAGACCTGTACGCACTGGCCATCTGCTTTTCCTTGGCAGTCTTTACAGTAACCTTTGCATGATATCCAGAAAAATCCTTTGAGTGCCTAGAATAAGATGCTCACTTTAAACCGGCTACCTAGCGTGTTTTTTTTTTGAAGAGATTTAGTATCAGATGGAGCATATTTTATAATAGTTGCTGAACTTATTATTAATAACATGTTCAAGTAATTATAAATAATAAAATAAAATAATAAAAATAAATAATAAAATAATGAAAATAAAAATAATAAAATAATAAAATACTACTAAATAATATTAATAATATAAAATAAAATTCAAATAAGAACAATTATTAATAACATGTTCAAAGTATTTCGAATTTAGTCCATCTAATTGTAATGTTGACTAATAACATGATTTCAGCTCTGCCTACATTTTCTTATCAGTCAGTTCAATCTTTATCATAGCAAGGGCTAAAACTGAGTAAAATTGAAAATTTCGAAGTCTCAGCATTAGTTCTTTCCAAGGCCCTCTCACTCTTTGGACCTAAAGACATTGGTTAAGCTACCCTGTGTAATCTCCTACCAGTTGACATCATTGGCGGAACAAGGGGTCCCGCCCCTCGAGAATTCGCGAAATTTTTGAAAGTTACATGGATTACAAAACATGCAAGTAACTTATTTATACTTGTAAACAATTTAAATAGTTTTTGAAATTTTTTAAATGTCTAGAACAGCCTTCTTAAAGGCACCGTCCACCCAAATTCTCGACTTCCATGTTTTTGTCGCCCCCGGGCCTTCTGAAGGCCCTGATTTCGAATATGAAGTCGAGAATCCCAAAAACCCCTATTTTGGAGAAAGCGGGACGGGTGGAAGTGCAGTTTGCAGGGCTGCGGCGCGGTTATCGCCCGGCGTATATCAGCGCCGCAGCCCCCAAAGCTGCAAAATGGGCGGAGTGACCACCTCTGGATCACGTATCACGTACCTTCCAGAGCAGATTTCTCGCTTCGGAAGCAATCTTTTGCGGGGAAACTTGGGGGTTGGCCTAGTGTGGGGGCCCACATTAGTATGCCGTTGAATCTCGTAAACCTTCACTTTGGGTGGACGGTGCCTATAAAGACGTGAACTGTCGACACATTTACAATAATTTTTGTCGCCCCTCTCCCCCTCCTTCCGAGCTGAAATCCTGGCAGCCCTACTGGTGGATACTGATGTGGAGGTAGTAACTGAGCCCGCCCAAGCGGCGGATCATTTAATTTATTGGCTGCCAGATATTCAACTTCATACTCTCGCCCAGGTTCGTGAACGCTGATTGTTCCGCAGTATTACGGTAAAAAATTACGGCAATGGCGAGAATTCATTTTACTCAACCTTATATAAAAGTTCTTCGCTATGGCAATGGTTCAATAAGGCTTCCAAATTTTCACATAAACATCATTAAACTCATTTTTGCCTAGCACTAATTCTAAAATTTAGAAAAAAAAGCCTTGCACGCTATATATTATTTATCTCCAAGAAATGCTTCATTTGTGCTAATCTCAATTTTTTGATAACAATAAAATACGCAAGTATTAGTTCTTACTATCGCACAGTCTTCTTGTAGCGGTAATCACATTACTTATTTGCACTATACTTTGATTCGATCCTTCGCAAGTGAGAGGATTGACGATTTCTATCTCAATTCATCCTTTTTCTTAACAAAATGACTTACATCTGGTTCTGGCATACAAAACTCCGCGCTGTCATAGCATCCGCCGAGCTCAGACCTAGAGAGAGCAACAAGGCAGGAGAGGACCAGTAACGCCACCGAAGAGCTGCTCATGGCTGAAAATCTCCTAAAAGTTGCTGAGAATACGAAATGACAGTGGAGCCGATCTTTTATACCGTCAATTGGGTTGATTCCTCACGTTACACTCAACTTTTTCCAATAGATGGTCATTGTAAAGTCTGGAAAAGGACATCGCACAACAATAACGATAATTTATGACGCACTTCAGCTGAAGTTTAGGAGGAATGTCAGGTTTTGTTTCCGTTTCCCCATCTAGTAGGCTGCAAAATGTTGCGTTTGCAAACCATGGGTGAGCGCAAATCAGAAATGTTATTTTTTTTAGAACTGGTGGTGTGATGGTGTTCTTGTATTACGTTAGTTATTTCATTTGAGCTCATCCATCAATTTTTTCTTGCAATCTTTATTCGAACGATATCACCTGACCTGTCTTAGTGCTCTAAAAAGAAATTGCTCTACATTCATAACTGAGCAAATATCAATCAAAGCACTAATGTATACAAAGAGCAGTAATTTTTTCAGTCTTGTTCCTAACATATCTTGCTTTGGAGGGTCCCACTAGGGTTATTGTATTAGGTTGTTACATAAGTCTTGTTACACTTAACTTCTAACGGCAATATATCATGCTCCCCATACTCTTTACAGGACTTCAGGATACCATTCGATAGTCAAAGCAAGCTCTACAGAATAGTGCGCAAAAGTTCACACCAACTTCGACCCACTATGAGTTTGCATCCAAAATCTGAGTCGTACTAAACGCTCAAAAATTGCGAAAATTCGTATTTGTTCAAAAAAATCCTACGAACCTCCAACTTGCTCATAAAAATTGCACACTATATCAGACACTCAAATGTACCGTTGCTGTATTTTCTCCTCATCTAGAAATCGAAAAAAGGAAAATTTTCTTGTTTTTACACAAACGAAGCTATGCTGTTTCTATTTGTGTAGCTGTACACTAAAAGACCTTAGGAGTGTAACCGTAAAATTTCAGCTTTTTAGAGGCCCTAGTTTTCGAAAAATACCGAATTCAGCTTTTTTCACTCGGGTGTTCATTGCTAAATTGGGTAAATTTCGAAAACTAGGGCTTCTGGAGAGCTAAAAATTTACGGTTATATTTCTAAGGGCTTGTAGTATACAACTATATCATTAGAAATAGCATAGCTTCGTTTTTGTAAAAACAAGAAAATTATCGTTTTCTCGATTTCTAGATGAGGAAAAAATACAGCAACGGTACATATGAGTGTCTGATATATTGTGCAATTTTACTGAGCAAGTTGGAGGTTTGTGGGATTTTTCTAACCAAAGATATGAATTTTTCGCAATTTTTGAGCGTTTAGTACGACTCAGATTTTGGATGCAAACTCATAGTGGGTCGAAGTTGGTGTGAACTTTTGCGCACTATTCTGTAGAGCTTGCTTTGACTATCGAATGGTATCCTGAAGTCCTGTAAAGAATATGAGGTGCATGACTTATCGCCGTTAGTAGTTAAGTGTAACAAGACTTATGCAACAACCTAATATTTACGATACCGGCCCCATCCTTTGTAGGCAAGAAAACAAAATCATGAAGGAGGGGTAAGGTAGATAAAAGATAAAAGTGTACTTAGATAAAAGTGTTTTTTATACCAGCATATTGAACGGGGAGTGGTCGGCTCAAAAGCGGAGATCAAGTTCTTCTAGCGGTCACAGCTATGATACCAGTACGTCACTTGTTCGAAGTGGTACTTGCTGAGAACTTCATTTTATTAAACTGGTTAGACTGGTATTGCATGATATAAACTTTTTCCGCGCAGAACTTGATGAGAATTAGATCTTTGCTGCCACACCCAGTTCTTTCTGTTCGTTTTTTTTTTCGCGCTTTGTAAGGTATTTTCACACGATGATGGAATTTTCCCATTTCGCAATGAAGCAAGACTTGCACACCGGGCACATCATCGGAACTGCCCGATGAGTTCACATATCATTCAAAAAGAATGATAGAAAGCGATATTGGGACCGTTGCCTCAGACTATATATATGAAGCAGAAAATCTGTGTGTCTGCGTGTCCGTGCACATTTCCCATAATTATGAAAAATAAGCGGTGAAACTCATTTTGTGCTGGTTATCAAGATATGGTAAGGACGGTAGGAAGCGAACCCGAGAGAGCTGGAATCAGAAGAAGAGTAAGTTTCGCTACAAAAGAGGTCAAGCACGGTGGAGGCTTCAGAACGGGGTGGAACCCGGGATAACAGCTCGTGACGTAATATTGCACAGCGTTGCCTTGCACATGGCACCCTATTTTCCTTTCTTCATTCATTCACTCATTCTTCTTGGGTGTTTGTCACAGAAGCTCTCCGCTTCTCTTTCTGGGGCATTAGTTTTGCATGCTGTCCCCTCCCCCGCTTACTCTTCACTTTTTCTGTACCTAGGAAGTCCATACATAACATTTGATTCAACTAGATTGGCGGTTGAAAGGCGGGGCCTTATATGACCTAAATTAAGCCACTCGCGCCCGCGACGCAGTCTGCGTCTCTTTCGCGCGCGTGCTCCCTAAGAATTCTCTAGCCTTAATTAGGTCATGAAGCCACTCCTTCCAGCCGCCAGTCCAGTTGAATCACAAGGTAACTGCACTTGCGCCCTCTGGGGATGTTGCGAGGAAGAAAAAAAAGTATTCCAACCTAATTTTCACCTTCAAGTTTCAATGGCTGTTGCATAAGTTCTGTCCGATTTGAATTTTTGAGTTTAAAATGTCATAACTTCTTTCAGAGTCAACTTTTTTCTAAGGTCTTAGTTTCTATGTGTTGAGCAGTCCCTTGGCTAAAAAATGCATATTGAGATCTGCGCAAATCTTTGTTAAGGAAGAACCAAGAATGCAAAAACTTCGCAGCGTTTTTCTTCGAATCTGTCTTTTTTGACATGGTAACGCTCCCTTATGAAAATTGATAGGCATCTTTTCTAATAATGGATGGATAGAGAAATTTTCGTAGATTATTATGCAACATAAAAGAGCCCATAGGGTTTGCGCTGCCGAGAGATTTTCTTGACCGAACAAAAAATTAGCCACTTTTTGACCTCGCTTCAGCACATGTGTGCATGCCTATTTATGAACTAAGAATGTTTTACAACTGACGTGAGCGCCGAAAAGGAATTGGTGGACGGGCCTTGTTAGCTCTTGCTTTGCCCTAGCACCTCCAACTTTGAGCTTGTCGATTACTTCTATTCGCAGAAAGTTATTGCTTGTAAAACATCTATACCAAAGATTTATGTTCGAGGATAAATTTCACTAGCAAGACGTATTCTTCATGGGACCGAACTTCTGCATATACTAGCATTCCATACCCTTATTCCGAAGCCAATGAAAGAACCTGACTTGAAGGGCGCATTGTGGAGATATCCTCGCAAGGACATATTTCTAGGGATAGAACGTACCTCGGCCACTTAGAGATTTTAGGCCTGTGATCTCCGTACACTAAGAATTTTATTGAATTCTGGTATGCTTTAGAAAGCGCAAGGAAAGCACTTTTCAATGATACCAACCGTATCGAATTAGAGATGAAATTCTCTTAGAACAGCTGCTTCAAACATGAGGCAAAAAATCGGACAGAACTTATGCAACAGCCTAGTACATACGTTGCATAGGATCCCTTCGTTGTTGGAATGTGCCCTTAAGTACTAGGCTACGACAATTATCTTTGGAGCTTTCTATGGGCTTGGTCTCTTGGAAAAGACACAAATTCATGTTGTTGATTATGTTTTTAGGAAGTTCCCCATTTTCCAGACAATATACTTTCCTTCTCTCAATATTCACTGCCATGATAATATACATTATATCCTTTGTATAAGCATGAGGTAATGGTCGGGAAGAGCTGAATGTGGGCTTACACACTTGAGCTTATTGAAGATACTGCGTTGCCAGCTCTTGTGATGCTTCAAAATCTCAAGGGCTACCTCAACAATCCCAATACTTCACAGCCTTAAACATATTTTGGCTTTAGAATTGAAGGCAATTTTTTCTAGCTACAAAAATCGGAATTCACTCTGTGTGCATATAACACGACGAATGCTGATCATGTGGTTGCAATCAAATCACAGTTTCTGCTTTTGCAGATTTCAAAATGCCATCTTAACTTTTTTTTTCCAAAAAGTGAGAGTACACCAGAGATTATTTCTGCATTGTCGTGCAATATGTAGTTTCCGGCAAACTTTGTGTACAGAGTGACATTCATCATAGTTATGCGTGTCAAGGACCGCAAACCGACGATTAGTTCAAAAAACGCTTAAAATATACCCCAACACTCCAATAATCGTGCAAAACTTTTCATTTGTCAATGCTGCAGATTTTTCTTCAAACTTTGCCTTTTTCGTTCATAAAATTGTTTTTTTAGGCGTTTACTGTCGATTGGGACCAAATAACGATAAAGACAAATGATCGCAATTATCAACGAACAATCGGTCAACGTGCAGAACCTTCATTCATTGATGTTAAACAAGTGAACAGACTTTATTGTAATGGTGAGTAAAGAGATTTTTCGAGGTTTTACTTACTTTCGGGCAAAATGTCAAACCTAATTTCGTGTTCGGATGGGTTCCGGAAATGGTGTTTTTGACTCATTTTGACTTCTTCCAATAACTTTGTTTGTTACATCACTGCTAATTAACATTTACAAAGCTAATAAAGGGTAATTTGCTATTGTGATCTATGCTAATAAAAAAGAAAGCACTTTGAGTGTGGGCAACAGAGCGCAAAACGTTCGCAGCGAGCAGGGTTCGAACCTACGCGGGCAATGCCCATTGGATTTCAAGTCCAACTCCTTAACCACTCGGACATCGCTGCATGGTCAATGGCTGTCTCTGTAGTCCTATTCATTAGAGCGTGTTTTTTCAACAATCAAAAAAATGTGCATTTTTTACAAGGTTAAACCTCTATATCGTCAAAGGTGATTTTATATTTTCTCGAAGCACAAGATACTCAAAACTAGCAGCATATTTTTATCTCCGTGGACTTCTTAGGTATTTAAGAATTATAACATGACAGGGGAAATATTACGATGAAAACATATGGATATATAGGCTTTAGCAAGTGTTTAGGCATTAAATTCGTAGAGTATCAAAATTGGAGAGTTGAAGGAAGAATTAGCGAGGCACGTAACGTTCAATTTTGTTTCCCCCCCCCCTCCCCACTTGCGATTAAAATCGTTATTTTTGTCCATCAAGGTCGCAAAGCAGACGAAATGGCGCCGTAACTTTTTTGATATCTAATATCGTCCTTTTCATGTATGTAAGATTCTGTCAGAATGAATTTCAACTCAACGAGAATTGAAAGCTCGTTTTTTTAGATTTAGCAGGAAATTTACGAAAGACTGTTTTTTTTTCAGATGTCTGCGCCCAAATGCCATGTCAGAATGGTGGTTATCCTGATCCCAACAATTGTAAAATATGCAAGTGTCCGCCTGGATTGAGCGGAAGAACTTGCGAAGAAATTCCCCAAGGCTTGTTTTTTTTGACCTTTTGAGTGCCTTTTATATTAAATAGCCTGATTATAGTCGGTTGTGGTGGAGAATTGACAGCCACTCCGATTTGGCAAGAGCTCTCTCATCGTGGCAAAAAGAAGTGCTACTGGAGGATAAGGGTAAGTTAGCTGGCTCTGCAGCAAATCTTCACTTTTTAACATTTCCTGTTTTTTTTTTCAGACCAACAATGCCCGCATACGATTTATCCTGAGTAATATAAGTTACCGATGTGAGACCACGTGTAGAGCATATGTGGAGATAAAGCACAATTCTGATTTTCAACAAACGGGATTTAGAGCTTGGTAAGGATACTATTTTCGATAGTAACTTCAAATGAAATGTACAAATGTGTGCAAAATGACAAAAACTATGGATATAGTTATAAACTCTTGAATGGACTTCCCTATTTTTCTTTTTTCACAAACTCTCAATGGTGGCAATACGTTTGACCCCACAAATCAAATTTGATGCACCCTGCAATTATAAATCAATTAATTCCAATGTGATCCTTTTTCACCTTTACCCCAGTTATAAGACTGCGAGTTTAATGACCCTGCTCCATTTATCATTTTACACTGCAATAACAAGTGGGTTCGATGAATGAAGCACAAAAAAGCGCAATATATAATATTACATTGCAAAAGATGCCCCCTCAAAATTTATTTTGTTACACGCGGAAAGCCCATCCGGTTTTTTACATTGTTATTGGCTTGGGAAAACCCGTTTAAAAAATCTTAAAAAGATGGACATGAAGTATAGAATTACAAGTAACAAAGATGTAATGGCAGGCGAAATGGTAATGTTAGGTTGGAACATAAACCTTGCATAAAAGTTCCTGAATCCATAGGTGCTCCCAAATTCAATGTATCTCTTTCATGGGCTTTGGTCAGAGGGGAAGAAATGATGCGTTTTTTCGTAATGTAAGAAGTAAAATTGACCGTTGCCGTATACTTGCAATAAATGCTCATACAGCGGCTGAAATTCAAAAATAAATCTAAGCTGTATTTTCTATATCAGGTTGTCCAGAAGGTTCTATTGTCTCAATTTGAAAATTTGTAAACTTTTGATATTTCGACAGATTTGCTTCTTTTTAAATACATTGCAAAGAAAATGTCTTTCTCTTTGGATGTACATATATCAGTGAGTCTCTATAGTACTGTACAGTCACTGCAGAGATAAAAGTAGAAAAATAAGGACATTTAACATCATTTTAAGTAAGGTCGTTAAATATTGGTTGCAGAAAAATCTGTAATAGTCAATGCATAGGTTTTATGACTTACTCCTTGCAATTGAAAATAATTCGTGGTGTTTGGAAGTTTTTGTGAGAAGTGTGAATTTTCGAGTTTACAGCAAAAAACGCCAAAATTGATTAATATGTCACTTCTGTCGGAAATCGTAATTTTTCATATAGACGTCCAGAGAGCACAAATTTTCTTATTTGCAGAGAGTAAATCATAACACGTGTTCTTACGGTTTCAGATTCTAATAGGATATCCCGAAAGTTCATTTGCACCATTTTCAAAAATTCGTAACTTCTGATTTTTCAAACCTATTCAACTGCTTTCATGTGAAAGAGTATATCTAGCTCTTTATAATGATATTCTAACTGGTTACCTATGTTCATCTAATGCATAAATAGGAGAGGTAGAAAGAAACGGGTGGAGGCATTAGGTCGCCGAATTTGGAAGAGTCCCGCGCGGATTCCCTGCAGGAACGCATGTCCGCGCATGTACAGGGTGCGTGTTTGTCGCAAATGACCGCGGGGACCGCCCTTTTTCGGCGACCTAATGTCCCCCACCCAAAAAACTACTCAATTTTGAATTTTTTGTGTAGGGTCATAAAAATCGGAAACTTGCAACAAAAATTGGAGCAATCGGTATTGTAGGCTCTGTTACCTGCTCTTAACTGCGCAAAGTTTATGCTGATGGAACACCCCTGTGAAAAGTTGTGATTTTCGAGCAAGCAATACAAAAGGCAGTTTTGATTTATTTTGACATTCTTTCCGAGAACCATAACATTTGATAGAAGCGTTCAATCAGCAAAAAGTTTGCACATTTAGGAAGTGCAGGTGAAAGAACCTATGATAGCGACGGCTCCAATTTTTATTACAAGTTTCTGATTTTTATAACCTTGCACAAAAAATTTGGAATTTGAGCAATTTTTTTCTACCGCTCTTATATATGCAATAGGTGAACATTAGTAACCACTAAGATATCCTTATAAGACCATGACTTACTCTTTGATATCAGAATGAGGAAAGTTAAATCGGTCGGAAAAATCAGAAGTTATGGATTTTTGAAAATTGTGCGAACGAACTTTCGGTGCAACCTGATATAATGATCAAAACATGAATGGTTTTCTTCCATTCTTATCTCTGCAATGAGTGTATATTAGTCATCAAGACATTTTTACAAGAAGAGAGGTTTACATTCTAATATGATTGCAAAGAAGCTTATATGATATGACAGCGACAAGGCACAGGTTTTTCAATAACGAAACGACGTAACTTTCGGGATAACCTAACATTTCGGTCGCCAAAATTTCAAAAGGTCTGGAAAGTTACCTACTTTGCTTTGGATTCTATTAGGCTGTCCCAAAAGTAAACCGTATTTCTAAATAAATCAGAGTATATTTGTTTTCCTGGCAGACTTGGGGTACCATTCGATAGAGCGAAGCAAGCTCTACACAATGACCTCCAAAGAATCGTCTAAGTCGCGATCCAGATAAAATTTGGATCCAAAAATCAAAATATTTCAGCTCCCCTAAAAATGGGATCTCCTTCCGGAAAGTTCCTATGGACTTCCAACTTGGTCCTCATATAGTAGACACCTAGTAGTAGCGAAAAATGTTTTTGGTTGATTTTTTCCGGAGTTCAAAATTGAGAAACAAAGGGGGTCCCAAAATGTCAAAATGCCGCTTTTTTCGGGTTTTTCATGTAAAATCTGGTATTTCCCAATTATACGAGCACATACAGGGATAACATTTCAAAATTGTACTTAGTAAGGCTTGCAGTGTACGATGACATATGAGGGAAGGGCTGGGGGCGGAGTTTGCCATTTTGCAATTTTTGTTTCTCGCTTCCTGTGCTCGGAAAAAATTCGGTAAAAGCATATTTGAGTACTACTATGTGTCTACTATATAATGTTTGTTTGTGCCAAGTTTGAGTTCCGTACGACTATTCTTCGCAAAAATCCAATTTTCAGGTAATAATTTTTTTTTCGATTTTGGCTGCAAACTTTACATAAAGTGCGACTCAGAAGGATCCTTGGTGGTCATTTTGCAGAGCTTGCTTCGCTCTATCGAACGATAGCTCATGTCTGCCAGGAAAACAAAAACAGTTTGATTTATTTGAAAATACGGTTTACTTTTGGGACAACCTAATATGACCCCTGCCGATCAGAGGTCTCTTCCAGGACTTGTAAATTCGTTTTTTCTGAATCTTCAGTTTTTTGAAAAATGAAATTTCTACTGTATAACAAAAAGCTTTTTTTATCAAACGCAACAAAATAGTTCTGCATTCTGGAAAGGTTACCTAGACGTTCAGCTTAGCCAAGCAAAAGGGCATTTTTCATGAAATTTCGGGCAAGACTCGGGTTCCAACCTGAAACGTCCGGCTTAGGTTTGTAAAGTGGTTCTCAAGAAAAGTTTTGAGATTCGAAACTGTGCGAAGAAATTTGTTTGAGAGATGAAAGATCATCACTAAAACAAGCACAGGGCTCGGCACGAGGTGACTTTTGGAAAATGCAAAAAACGAAGTCCTTCTTGACTTTTGTGAATTTTTACGAAGTCCCCTTTGACTTTAAAGCCTAAACCATAAAACTCTCAGAAACGAAATGTCGACTAAAAAAAGTCCGCAATGTTTGTGTCTTTTCGGCATCAAAAACGAACGAAACCCGCTTTGCTTTTTGTCCCAAAAACGATCCCAGCTTGCTTACAAGTCACCTGTGCCGAGCCCTGACCAAGCACTTGGCAGGGCTTTGAAAGGAAAATGCTTAAGATGGTGTAATTGAAGTGTAATGTCCTGCTTCTCGTTGATTAACAGTTTCTGTAACTTATAGCATGTTTGTGATATAACATAAGTTCAACATTTAGCTGCAACGAAAGCGAGATACAAGTGACATCCGAACAGGCAGAGATGCTTATCATAGCTGACTCGACAGAGCTAGACTATGAAACAGGATTTAGTCTTCGATACATTCAAGGTAACCTCCTTTTACCTAGAAATCTCCCAATAACCGTACTCAATACAGACTCCGGGAAACCTTTGCCGAAACCGCCGCCGCCAGTTTGGGTACCTGGAAGTGAAAACCGTGGCTTCCGTGGTCAAACGGCTGTTGGAGGTCCAATTGAGAAATTCATTCTCAATGCTATTCCAAAAGTTCGGTCAGTAATTTGCCACAATTTCTGCTGGTATTTAATATCTTTACCTGATTTATTTACAGAGATCCAAATCGACCATGGGAAAGCATAGCAAGTATTGTTACCGAATACAGTTTGGCTAGTTTATTCGGTGTGAGCCAACGGCGGTGAAGAAAAGCTAGATTTGGGCTAGCTATTTAGTTTTTTTATCCAAAATCTGCAGCTGAATCGAGCTTTGAAAAAGCCATACTTTATTTTTTGGCGTTTCCGTGCCGTACAAGAAAGTCATTGCACGCAGAGATAGAGCGCCATTGCGGACTTTTGCATCTCCCTGACCACGCGCACTCTCATTTTCTCCTGTCACCTGCACTCACTTCTGAGCGCGAACTGTTTTCAGTACGCAGTGACAACCTATCTTTGCGTGTGATAAATCGCGTATAGTCCGTCCGCGCTGCGCGCGGAGAGCAAGGCTGTTGCGTACATCGAAGGCAGTTCGCGACTGGAAGAAGCGGAGAGAAAACAGACGGCGAGAGTGTACGAGGAAAGACGAGTGCGCGTAATACACACCTTGCGCACTCTCCGCGCCCTGCGCGGACGGTCTATATATGTGAAATCTGCTCAAAATAATGCTAAGAGGGAGCGTCTAGAAGATCCAAGATCTCGCAAGCTGATTGAAGGATGACAGACTTGCCTGCTAGGCTTCTGATCATCAGCTCCTGGTCTGGCAAAGATTGCGTTCAAATCGCGCGGTGGCCCCAGTTTGGCGTGTAGTTTCCTAAGCAGAGGACTATACATCGCCGAAATGAGGTGATCCCACTCAACTAGCAACAGGCCGCACAGGATTGCACATAGACACTGCACATTTGTACCAGCTGCCCGCGCGAGGTGGAGTTCATCGGCCACATAGAGTCCTGGAGTTCACCGGCCACATAGAGTCCTCTATCTGAGTTTTCTAGTCTCAAGAGAAACGACACACAATCTGAACGAACAGTCGCAACACTTTTGCACACCTACTATGTTGAACGTTGCGGATTGCAGGGGTCAAGGCTTTCGCGGAGACCGTCTTAAAGGCAAGTAAGGCAAGTATACAGGCAAATTTGAGCATACGGGTTTTTGCCTGGAAACGTCGAGGAGGTTCTAGCTAAGGCACTTCCCAAACCGCATCGCAACTTGTTCGTTCACAGCTGAGAAATTCGTCCCCAAACACTCCGCGGCTGCGCCGTGACCGACTTGGGATAGGTCCCAGCGCGAACCTAGTGTTAAAGGCACCGTCCACCCTAAGTTGAGGGTGTTGAAATTTTGGCAGCGTATAATAGTAGGGCCCCCTATCAATCCAGTGCCCAAGTCGCGGCGCAAAATGCCGCTTCGGAAGCGAGAAAATTGCTTCGAAATAGCGAAGATGCACAAGGACTTCCATCCATGCAAGCCCATTTGTGCGCGCCCATCCAATCACCGTTCCGGAAAGCCGGCCTGTAGGTTATCCGAAACGAGGATTGTCGGGGTTTTCGCGCATTCTCAACTTCATATTCGGAATCAGGGACATTAGAAAGTTCTGAAACGGCAAAAACGTGGAAGTCGAAAATCTGGGTGGACGGTGCCTTTAAAGTGGGAGAAGTCGTTTTCGGGTTACGGTCACGGCGCAGGCTCGAGATTTTTGGGAACGGGTTTCTCAGCCGTGAACAATTTGCGCTGCCCCTTGGGCAGCGCCTTAGTTAGGACCCCTCATCAATTCCTGGCGAAAAACCCACGCCCCGATTTGCCTGGACACTGCCTTTAACAATCAAACCTGGTCCTTGCTTTCCTTTTGGATCTGCAAAAACTTCATATTTCGGCCTTTTTGGCGATGAAAGCCTGTTTTAGAGTAAGCCGCTTTTCGGGTTCGGACTGTATGTCGCGATGGGCTCCACACTGCGCAAGTAGATGTTACAAATCTGTAATGTCTCAGTATTTGGAACTGCGTGGTCTGTCGCAGACGTCCGCGTGGACCACCCCCCCCCCTTTCGGCGACATGCAGTAACTTACCCCCGTTTTTGGGATCAGCTCGCAAAGGTCCGGCAATGAAAGAAAATTTGAGCCTTGAAGGAAACTGTCTTCGAGATTTTTTTTTGCATTGTTGATGAGTCTTTCTTATAATAAGCGTTTTGGTGCTATCCGGAAAGCTGAACAACTAGTGTATGTCATCGCAGTTTGATGATGTTTGTATATATGTGATGCTTTGTTTGTATATAAAAGCTCTGATGACGATCAGATCGGGTAACCATCTTCTAATTTTGATTTCTTGCTCTCCATGTCAGTCAGGTATTTGGAATTGTTGTATTCATCTAAGCTTTGATGAAGTTTTGATACTGCCGTTTTCGCGATAATTCGTTCTGCATAAAAGTTTATACAGCTCTTAATGCTTTGTTTTGATCTTTGCTCAGTGATATTCAGATGCTTTTGCGAATTATCACTTTTAGCATCTTTCGTATGATAAAAAAGAGCTAGACCAATCTGTAAGTTTTTTCAGAACTCTAGGTTAGCTGCAGTTCGACCAGTAGATTGAAAGGCGAAAATGGTGAGAATACTATCTGTCTAGCTTCTTCTCTGCATGAGAGAGGAATTTGTACGCATTAACACATTGAGTTATCTGCCTTTTGGAGCCGAAGCTTGTCATGGAAAAGTTAATACTTTTGAGATGAAACTACGCATACTGCCTTTCAAAGTGTACGTACAGTAGCTCTGTGGCAGTGGCTCTGTAAGAATACTCGTCATTTTACTAGACTAGCGACCCTGCGGGTCGCTATAAGTGGGTCGAAGCACATGTTTAGAAAGTTTGTGCATCTCAATGACATCTTCCTGCATTTTATTTTACTTGAAAAAATTTTCGCCGAATCATTAAATTTACTCCAAGGTAGACTCATTATCGGGTGGAAGCAGCTTCCCTCCACCAGCGAGACCCAATTACCCGAAGCGTTGGATCTCCAAGTAAACGCTTTCTTAAACCAGCGAAACCCAGTTAATTAAGCGTTGGATTTTCCCAGATGAAGGCTCATCTCCACCAGCAAGACCCGTTACCCAAAGCATTGAATTTCGCCGTAAACGCTTTCCTCCACCGCGAGACCCAAATACCCCGAAGCGTTGGATTCCCAAGTAAACGCTTTCCTCCACCATCGAGAGCACTTACTAAAGCGTTGAATTTCCCCAAGTGGAAGCTCATCTCCACGAGTGAGATCGTTACCCGAAACGCCGCTTCCTCCACCAAAGAGACCCAGTCATTCGAGCGTTGGATTTTCCCAGATGGAAGCTCATCTCCACCAGCGAGACCCAGTCACTCAAAGCATTGAATTTCGCCGAGCAAACGCTTTCCTCCACCGCGAGACCCAAATACCCCGAAGCGTTGGATTCCCAAGTAAACGCTTTCCTCCACCATCGAGAGCACTTACTAAAGCGTTGAATTTCCCCAAGTGGAAGCTCATCTCCACGAGTGAGATCGTTACCCGAAGCGCCGCTTTCCTCCACAAACGAGACTTAGTTACTCAAGCGTTGATTTCCCCAAGTGGAAGCTCATCTCCACGAGTGAGATCGTTACCCGAAACGCCGCTTCCTCCACCAAAGAGACCCAGTCATTCGAGCGTTGGATTTTCCCAGATGGAAGCTCATCTCCACCAGCGAGACCCAATCACCCAAAGCATTGAATTTCGCCGAGTAAACGCTTTCCTCCACCGCGAGACCCAAATACCCCGAAGCGTTGGATTCCCAAGTAAACGCTTTCCTCCACCATCGAGAGCACTTACTAAAGCGTTGAATTTCCCCAAGTGGAAGCTCATCTCCACGAGTGAGATCGTTACCCGAAGCGCCGCTTTCCTCCACAAACGAGACTTAGTTACTCAAGCGTTGATTTCCCTAAGTAGAAGCTCATCTCCACCAGCGAGATCCAGTAAAATACCCAAAGCGGAATTTTCTCAAGTAAACGCTTATCTCTATCAGCAAGACCAGTTACCCAAGCGTTGAGTTTCAAGCAAAGCAAAAAAAACCTTCACCAACGAGATCCAGACTCAAGCGTTTCTTTAAGTGAACGCTCGTCTCCACCAGCGAAATTCAACTACTTACGCTTTCCTTTCTATGCGGCAGGGAATATTTTCACAAATATATACTCGTGTCCACCAGCAATACCCAATTACTCGAGCACTTTCAATTCTGGAAGCGAAAGCAGGATTAGCCTAAGATAAAACCTCGCCCCCACCAACGATACCCAATTACACAAATTAACCTTTCTACAAGTCCATCAGATAACATTTTTGACCAAAATTTCCGACATTATCTGCGGTGCGTAGTTGTCTAAGTGCGTTTTTTTTTTCTGAGGCGTGGCCTTTGACAAGAGAACGCAGTTTCACGCTTTTCGGAATACGAAAAAGTTTACCTCAAAGGCTTGGAAAAGCAAAATTTACATCAATCGCCGTATTTCCTAAACATGCTCCGAAAAACATCAGGTGGCTCTACCATGAGACCCACTTAATCTGTGCAATATAGTTTTTGTGTAAGCAGAGAAAAACGAAACAAAAAAACGTTAAATAAACGTAAACGCGCAAAGGCAGAAATATAAACTGGAAATGTTGAAAATCTTTACCACCTGCAAGCCAGAGATTTTAGTAGATAAAACCTACGTAAGACGATGCGGCAACAAACCTGCACGAGGCGACTTTTTATAATAATGGCGACATAGTATACTGAACCTCGACCGGGGGGGGGGGGGGAACATTTGCCTCGTTATTTATGGATGTTGCTCAAGGATCGCATATGTAATCATGTGACTTATGCGAAAACATCGTCTTGAGACTGTTGATCACTCGTGATGGTCTGTTTACAGTCTGGAATTTGTCCTTAGGTGACAGCTATACACGAAAAAAAAATTCGAGACGGTTCGGTACAAATGAAAACATGTCTCATATATTGGAATACACAAGGGGCGTGTCCGCATCTCGTCTGGCTTCTCCTCGTTTACCATCTGCTATCGTTTAGGGAAAGTGCAAGAATTCATGCTTTTATACATAGTGATTTGAAGCTTGACGCACCATGTGTGTCAAGCGGTCCCATGTGGTTGTCATTGTTTTTCACACCATCTGTATCAACAGCCGCCTAATAGTAGGAGAATTTCGAAACTTTTCATCGAATGAGTGAATATGGAGTAAATTCAAAAATAAAAAATTCTGAGTAAAGAATCTTGGATAACTTCGAAATTCAAAAACTTCGAATAAATGAAATTTGAGGAAAGTTTGAAAATCAAAAGTATCGAATGAATGAGTGTCGATCGTATCCGAACACTGAGAGTCGAATTTAGAATGAAAATTCAAATGATCTGTCGAGTACGTAGAGCAACATATTTGAAACTTGCTAACATACACGGCAGTGGCGTACCGAGGGGGAGGGCGAGAATGGGTCAATTTTGAAAGTTGGTTAAATGTGTTATAAAAATGTGCAAACGACTAATTTTTACTTACAAATATTTGAAACAGTTCCTAAAACTCTTTACAAAATAAATTAGTCTTGTGAAATAATTTTTCGGGGGCGTGGCGGCAGCCACGCCCCCTTTTTCTGAAAATTCGGAATTAGAGGACCGCGAAAATTTGGGCATCCCAAAAAATTCTTCGGAATGCGTGGCTGACGCTGTCCGAATATTTGTTTGTCCCCTCCCCCCTCCCCGAACGGAAATCCTGTGTACGCCACTGGTACACCGCTAAAGCCGATTCATTCATAATCAGCACCCTCACCCACCTCTGCCAGCTCCTAGATCCGTATAAAGTTTTCCAAAAATCGATAATATCGACAGAGTAGATTTTTATTCATAAAAAGCACCCTCGCTTACCCTCCTGCACTTACTCCCAGCCCCGTAGCTCGAAGTTCTCGAAAAGTTGATAAAGTGACTATTGGCAACTAGTATGTCACAACTAGTATGCACATCAGCAAAACGTCATACTTTACTTCCCACTATAAAGCAATCTGAAGAAAGAGCAAATGATATGGATTTTTATGCCTTGCCTAGAAAACTCTTCTTCTGATCGTCAAAAAGTGAATGATCACACAAAGATAACATACAGAATTTTGAAACAGTTCAGCAGAGTTACAGCAGATGAAATTTGTTGGAGCAACTGAGAATTAGAAATGAGTAACTCTTTGGTATAAGCATTCAAACTATTTCTGCTAAAAGAGCTGTTTGGATTCGTAGTGCTGAGTTTGCGATCATTCTCTTGGAACAGTAACGATGTCACTTATGTGTACTTATATGCCACAAATGTTACAGTACATAGTCTTTATATCAAGATATTCATCGTCGCGGACGAAGGCCTGTGGTTTATCCCACGAAGCAAACACGAATGCACTCAAAGCCCGAGCATACTTCAGGCAATTTCAATAGCGATTTGGTTTGACAATAATCAAATTGTTTATAACTTATCTTACAAGGGAGCGATACTTGATGTTCGTGGCCTTTTGAGATAAAATGTGTACCATTACACTCGACTCGGAGCACTGATTCCGAATGACATCCTTTTTTTTGTTAACCTCTTTTCTGGAAAAAGTTATGAGGGATTTCCGCTCCAAAAGAAATATGGTCGGAATGCCAAAATCGCATCAACGATGTGGTGTAGCGGCTAGTGCGATGGCCTCACGCCAACGCAGGTTGAGGTTCAAGTCATTCTGCGTTTTTCAGCTTTGCACTGCCTCAATCAAACTTCTTTTCAAAAGTTAGGCATCCTCTGCCGCATTTCTCTTGGGCGACCATTGATGCGAACATCCTTCATAACTTCTTGAGAAACGATTAGCAGACATGGTAGTCAGATTCGGAGTCAGCGTTTTAAGACAAGTGTGATAGTGTACGTTTTATTTCAGAAGGCCACGGACACCGAGTATCATTCTCCCGTTAGGCGCATTCCAAAAGTGCCAAAAGCACGGCATTTATCTATTTAAAACGTTATACACGCCATACATTTGTGATAAGCGGCCGTTACATGAAGAATCTGGCAAAGTAGCAAATCGCGTCCGACTGAAATCGGAAGGGCCTTTATCATAATTGGCAGGCTGATAGCACCCGGTGTATAGATGCCTTGTGAAGATCTTGAATGCAACGAAATAATTGATATTATTGTGTACTATAGACAGAAATTTGTTTCAAGGTGATATAACTTCTACTACAACTGCATGTCCTAAAATAGACCCGTCATTCGCGAAAAATCTCTGAATAGAATGGAAGCAGTTGTGCAACATATGAATTTTACAATCAAGAGTGCATAGTGCCTACTAGTGTAGACCTTTGCGGACCGAAACCATAAGCAACGCAAAAAAAAACTGATCATCAACATACTTTTAGTAGCACGAATTCGGACCACGAGCTTTGATTCGATAGCCGTTTTCTTTCTGGCTTCATACCAGCAGAAATACAAGCTGTCTGATTTATCGAAAAAATCAACCAAAATCCACATTCATTTTTTACTATTCCAAGCATTTGGAGGTATGAGAGTTCTCAAACAATTTAAATCTAATCACGTCTTCAGATGCACTACCGAATTTTGCAGGAAAAGATGCAAACGAAGCGAGCCTGATTACTTAGCAGTTGACTCTGCACCGAACTCGGATAACAGAAATTTCATCCAAACACGAATTCAAATAAAACATTCGAATACATTCACACGAATATTGGAAACTAAGTTTTTGATTATTCGAGTTTACAAATTTTATTAGAAACCCCGTTCTCTGTTTGTTCGAGTTCTGTGTTTTACACGGAAAACTCCGATGTTCGCTTAATAAAATAATCAAATTTTTATTCGATTTGGATCCATGTAAATCGTCGATGTGTTAATTGATAAGCCTAAAGACCTACCTCGCGCAATCTTAGACACAGCGCGCTAGCGGTTGCAACCACTCGTACCTCGCGCAATCTTAGACACAGCGCGCTAGCGGCTGCAACCACTTCGGTGGAGAAAGGGGAGGGGGGAAGAACTAGAGGTTTGGTGATAGGGGGAAATGGTCATATTTTATTTCTAAACCATAATGAGTAATATGGCCAAGGTTATTGTTTGAACATGATCATAGTTCACATTCATGGAATGATAGAGCTTTATTCAAGTTTTATATCGAATGTGGATCATAATACAATTGTGAAGTGTCTTACTTTCGAGATTATAATCCAAATTTACAGGTAAGCTTATCAATGAGTTTTTTTGATTTAGCGCGTGATCCTCCAGTGCATCTGGCAAGGAACAATGATGATGAATTTGAATTTTTAGGAATAAAAGAACTTACTGGCATTGGTATCCACCGCTGCATTTTTTGTTTTTAACTCGGACGCATTTCCCACTTTTTCTTCCCTTACATTTTTGGCAGTATTCAGCACATGTTTTCCACAATATACCCGTGGCAAACTAAAGAAAAAAGGCTTTTTAGCTCTTTCTTATAAAGGTTTCGCATATATACGAACCAAATGAAATAAATCACACGGAGATATCTGGTTGCAATAATTTGAAGACTTACCTTTGTTTGTGGTGTACAGCGGCTCCAATTTTTGTAACATCCACATTCGGACTGTATAACCAAGGAGAGCAACAATAGCGTGTAAAGGACAAAGCTGTTCATGGTGTATGATCTCTACAGCCTGCCCCTGAATTTATATCGAGAATTGCGATTGTTTTGTTACACTTTCAGGGCCAATCTAAGGCAACTCACGTCATAACTAATCTAATCAGAATACTTCAAACGTTTAACATGACTAGTCCGCATGAAGATGATTCGGGCACTTCTCGTGATAATGGATTAGCGAAAGAATAGGATGATTGTTTTATTCGGTGTATTCGCAAAAAAAAGTTTCAGCTTTAGCAATGAAGGTCGAAAGTGATGATGTAATGAAGTTTGTGATGAGGCGTAGATTTATTCAAATGATATATTAGGTTGTCCGAGAATTAATGCAGGTTTGGTTTTCAACCGCAATAAGTCATAGCTTCTCAATCCTAAATAGGATCTAAAATACCATCCGATAGAGCAAAGCAAGCTCTAGAAGAAGGCTATCTTGCTTTTACAAGCGCTTTCATTCACCTCGAGTTCCGAGCCAAAAACTAAGAAGATCCAACTACTTAAAAAATGAGAATAATCGTAACTCAGTTAAAAAAAATCCTACAATTCCAACTTGTTCACGCAAACACTATTCACATAAGACATTATTTTTTTTCTGTTAGAAATCGAGAAAACGGAAAATTTCGTACATTTGCCAAAGTGACGCTATGCCGTCCTCACATAAGTAGTTGTATTCTACAAATTTGTGGAAGTACAAAAGTAAGATTTTGCTTTTTACAGGCTTTGGTTCTTGAGAAATATCGAATATAGCTTTTCCTGGTCATGTGGTCCAAGCTAAAATTCAAATTTCTCGAGAACAAAGCTTATATAGAGCTGGAAATTTGCGTTTGTACTTACGGGTTTGTAGTACGCAACTACTTATGTGGGAACGGCCCAGCACCACTTTGGGAAATGCACGAAAAATTTCCGTTTTCTTGATTTCTAACGAAGAAAAAAATACGGCAACGGCGTATATAGATGCCTTATGTGGGTAGTGTTTGCATGAACAAGTTAGAATTTTCGTAGGACTTTTATGAACTAAGTTAGGATCTTTCTTAGTTTTTCGGGCGGTTAATTCTCTTTAGTTTTTGGCTCGAAACTCGTGTTGGATTAAGGCTTCTGCTAGAGCGAGAGACCTTGCTTTGCTCTATCGAATGTTACTCTGCGACCTGTTTAGAAATGAGAAGTGTATGACTTATTGCGGTTGAAATTCAAAACCTGCATTCATTTCCGGACAACCTAATATTTGGCCATGACATGAATCATAGTGCCATAAGGCCGACTGACAAAGGAAGGATAGAGTGTCCATATGAAATGTATAATATCTTGTGGAGCGTGGAACGCTGATTCCAAATCTGTTTTCCTTATTTTCAAGGTATATTCTGAGGTAAAATTTCAATGATTTGGCTAAGGTAAAAACAACGGTTGATGTCTTTTCAGCCCTTGAAAAGAGTAATGACTTGCATGAGCTTGTTAGATTGAACGTTTTTATTGCATAAAACGTTTGGTAGTAATCTGGTCCCATCTGAATTCACGGCCTAGAGTTCTGAATGATTTTATTGTAGCGGCGTTCTCAAATTTTGCATCAAAAAATTCCCATTACTCTATCCCCAGAACCGCTTTGCAGATAGCGAAAGCAGATTCGGAATGAGCATTTCATGCTTCATAAGATAGTGTACATTTTATATAGGAAAGCCATTTCGACCAAGTATCTTTCGCTTGTGAGATGCGATGCTCGCAAACTGGAAGCTGCGCGCGACAAATTGTCTTTTCTACAATAACTTCAAATTTGATATGATTTGTTACCTGTGAATGTGGTTTATTGGAAAAAGACTTTTCTGTAATCTTTCCTCTTATTCGTTTATATTAGGTTGGTCCGAAAGTTCGTTCGCACCATTTTTAAAAAATTATAACTTTCTTCCCTCACAATGACTTTGCGCAACTCAAATTTTATTAGAAAGCGTAAAGCATGTAGTTTCCAAAAGTCCCCTGGGGACTCTCCAACATGCTCAGGTTGTAGAGATAAAAATGAAAGAACGAAATCATTCGAAATTTGGAATTTTTAAGCAAATATTCTAAAATATAAGAAAACGTGGGATGATGATTGTTCTGGATTTTATCGCGCAGTTTCTGAATTTTTAGGATTTTTGCTCAAAAATTCCAAAAATTATGTAAGGCGCCTATGCCGTCATCTCAGGTTTCCCATTTTCGCTCATTTTGAACATGAGCTTGATATGTTACAAAGATTAATTGTGCATGACGATGTTTCTTTGTTGAACTCGCCCTGTCAGTCAAATATACAGGGTGTCCCTAAAAATGTGAACACTGTTTTATCGTTAATAATTCCGTTGCTTTCATGTCTTCCGCCGAGCATGAAGCACTATTCGGTAGAGTAAGGTTCAATTTAGATTCGTAATAAGCGAATCATTAATCACTGTTCGTTACTGTAGGATTACGGTATGAATTCTAGCATGTGGATCTATTGCGAAATGCGCCATTTGACAAAATTTTTTTCAAAAAATCTGAAAAATCATGTACTAGGGTTTTCGTGCATGCTGATTCCATCTAGCAACTTTTTACGAGCGTTTTCAGCTTTTTTGACGGTGTAGGTTTGGCTTTAGGCTTGTTTGGTTCCGAGGAGCATATGGCTTCAAATGGCCTGAAATCCTTGTCGATGTTCTTACCGTAATCCTATAGTAATGAAGGGCGGACGACTCGTTCCATACTGTAGATCTAAGCTAAACCTCGCTCTCTAGATTGGTGCCTCAAGCTCGGCGAAATACATGAAAGCAAGGAAGTTATTAACAATCAAACAGTGTTCACATTTTTTGGCACATCTTGTATTAACCTTTATTAAGTCCTGACCATCCAGTCGCTTGAGTCTGAAGAATTCATAATGCTCCATTGAACGTGTTTCTTACACTAATTTCTTGCAGAAAGAAATCACCATCTACTTTCTAATAACGTCCTCGCAACCCTTTGACGACGGGAATTCAGAGATTAGAAATTAAAGAAACACTCTCAAGCTTTTGATACTCTAAAATGAGCTGTTAAAAATCTGGAACGCTGCAGGAGAATGTTAGAGCATGTTTATTACCAGGGTTAAGCGTAAGCTCAGGCGGGCCCGACCTGGGGGGGGGGGGGGGTCGTGCTTGGTAAGACTGAGGGGGGAGGGGGTCGTGATCAAGAATCGAATTCGCTCAAAAGTAAGGAAATACTACGATCGAGTAAGGTAAAGAAGAAAAGCTTTAGACCGATGCACATCACAACTGCAATAGAATTGAAGGAATGAGACGTGACCCGCATATTGATTGACTATCGAAGTTTCAGCTAAATTTCAATTCTCCATCCCTTATTTGACACTACTAAGGTTACCAAAGAAGCTTGCTGTGTAAATTGAGTATAGTGTCCTTGATTAGAATATCAAATCACCTCTACTAGCCCTACAGACTTACCTATTACTCTACCGTTTTCTATCGTCTAAGAAACCTGAAATTCAAACATGATTAACTTGGTTTCGAAAGTGAAAGAAGTCAGCTTTTTTACACTCATAACAAAGTAATGTTCCCTATCAGTCTATAATAGAAATTAGAATTCATATCGCTTTCAAATAGTGGATCAGGAAGTACTGCCAATATTCCAATCATCGCGTTTTTCACCTTGAGCGCGTCAGCTTCGCGGATTACCACAAAGCCGAAAAAAGCCAAGTTAAGCTCAAACACCTACTGTAAAGTGTTCGAGATTTGTGCTAGCGAATTACATAGAACTTGGATGAAAAAGCGTCTTCGGAGATAAAGTTAATGGGGTCGGGCGCAACCCCTCAAAAGGTCAGGCCGCCTGTGCTTTTGTAGCCTTGCGCCTGACCCACTTAACTTGACTTCAAAATTCAGAAATCAGTCCATGGTATGAGTATTGAGCTCATAGCCTCTTCTTGCCTCAGTGAAAATTTGGAGCAAATCTCTGGGGATCTGGCTCGTTCAATAGGGCGGTTCACATCAAAATCCGCCGTCAAATTGCGTGTTTGTAATGTGCAAACACAGAAAAGCGATCATACTGTCTCCTATAATTCAACAACTCTGCAGGACATACTCGTGTTCTCGAGAGTGTCACACTCTGAGGTTCCGGAGGTGGAGAGGATCAAGAGGGGGTCGTTTGGGGCTTTCCTGGAAGGAGGGGGTCTTTCTGAACGACTTGTGTCTGACCTTTTGCTCAACTCTGTTTATTACAGTTTACCAGTGGCGGACCGAGAGGGGAGGGCGAGGGGGGGGGGGCGCCCACCTTCCCGAGAATGGGTGGCGGATTAAGGTATTTTTAAAAATTTTTTGAAAATTCAAATTAGCCTTGTAAAAATTTTTTCGGGAGCGTCCTAAACGTCGCGCCCTCTTTTTCTAGATTTTAGGGGCTGGAAACCCGAAAAAATTTTAAAAAGCACCCCAAAAAATTTTTCGGAGTGCGTGGCTAAAGCGGCGCACCTTAGTGAAAATTTTTACCCTCCCCCCCCCCTTCTCCCCCCCCCCCCCGGGCGGAAATTTTGAGACCGCCACTGCAATTTAAGTGAGCTGCTCTTTCTAACATTGCAAACTTGTGTTGATCGAGCTTTTCTTAGCGAGGTTATAATTTTTGAAAAATTTTTTTTTGCATTTTTCTGTATTTTCTTTAGAAATCATAATTCCGTTGAGAAGTTTGATTAACAGAACATTCACAGTGTTAGAAAGCGCAGCTTACGTAGAAAGTGATAGACATGCCTCCAGATTGTTTATAGCTTCAGATTTTCAATAATACTTTAGAAAATGAAGAGCCCTACTACTTAATTTTATTTCTGGAGTCCATTGTTCTGGAGTCCATTAACGTCAAGGAGCCGCGAAGATGTTTTGTAGAGCAAGTAATTTTTTTCTGGCGAACAAATTGTAAGCAAATAGGTACGTGCACATAGAAAGCAAACTTTTTATTTTAAAGTGACACATTTAGTCCAACCTAATAGATTAACAGACCTGTTTGTTGGAATAATTGATAATTTCAAATTAACCATTTGCAGAATATATTCAAAGAATTGCAAAAAGTGGAAGGCATTGAAAGAATAGATTCCACATCAAATTTGAGCAAACACGCCTACGTGAAATTA